CCAACCCCGCGGTCTCAGAGAGTCGAATTGTTGTACCAGTGGCATCAGAGAGTGACAGGAACATGAGTGTGCACTATAATAATAACCTCCTGCGCCAAGTCTATTCTCAGTGAGATTGAAATCAATCAGGAAGTCATATTTATTACCATTTACCACTTTAAATGATACATATAATTACACTTTATTTAAATAAGTTAGCATTAACTGGTATTTGAAACAATAATATCGTCCATCTTTCTTAGTTCTATACACCAAAGCCACGACGCTACATCTTCGCATCTCTAAAGCGACCGCAAACCACTAATTAGGTGTTAAATCACTAGAACGACTAAATCCAAGTCCTCCTATTCACAGTGATTTACATTGCAAGAAAACATAATTATTGTAAAACAATTACAATGCAAATACTATTTTACTTAGCCAAGTCTTTGTGGGCTGAATGTATCCAGCTAGATAGAAAAAATCTACCTCAACTAGGTAGAAAAACTTTAAAATAGATCGGGAGTAAGGCATTAAAAATGTTTTAAATCATATTATAATATTTATATACAAATCAATAAATACTCTGCCTAGGAAGTACGATTTCAATTTTAAATATTTCGTCAAATTTATATTTTGAAACATGAACGTTCCACGTAATATGGAAGTGCGTGTTTATTTATCCATACATATATGTATATCGATATAGAGACCGAATCTATAGTTTTTAGAATTTTTGTCTGTCTGGGAACGCATCATGAGAAAACCACTGGACATATTTTGATGAAATTTGGTATGATGATAGCTGGTTATCCGAGTCAACATATCGGATACTTTTTACTGCGGGAAAATATCTCATATCTGAGAAATCTATACTAAATATTAAAATGTAACTAGGGAAGAATCCGAGTGGAGTGAGGGTGAGACGCTAGTAACTATATTTTGCTAAAGCATTCATCACCGTGAGTGTGCACTTTCATGAAGGTTTCTGATATTCTATAAATGTATGTAGTATTATGATAATACGTTAAATAACATGTGTTAATTGTATCGCAACTAAATTAGTCATTGATATAACCAAAACTAGCTGAAGAATTACATTGATACATATAAATATATGTAAACCTTATTAAAGAACATGCATGTGTGTGTACGTACATATCTTTTAAATCTAGCGGCGTTATACTTACTCGAGTAGTGCATTGAAATAAACTTCCTTATGTACAACCCTCGGTACCCGCTCAATGAAAACCGGCGCCCGGCAAATGGAATTGGAACGGTGACGATGTACGTTTTTTCTTTTACACGCTGCGATTTGATTGAGTTCATCTACACCTTTGTGTTGGTTTTAAAACGATCAAACAGTTCGTAGACAGAAGGCTAGGAAATTGATTGTGGAAAGCCTTTACTGCATTGCAAATTGCATTCTGCAAAGGTCGTAGATTTGATTCTGGTGCAATATATATTGATCTAGACCTAATAAAACTCTCAATATATTGAAAACTAAGTTTGAATATTTAATATATGTTCAAATTAAATTTGGTGCTGCCTGCCATGGTAAGTCACTAGTAACAGTATATTATACTCAACAAATGCAAATAAATAATCTATACTAATATTATAAAGAGTTAAAGTTTGTGAGTATGTGAGGTTGTACGGGCAATCTCTGGTTCTCCTCAACCGATTTTGATGAAATATGGTAAGAAGATAGTTTGAGACCCAGGGAATGACAAAGGTTACTTTTTATCCCGGAAATCATTCCTTAAGGGGGTGAAAATAGGGATGAAAGTTTGTATGGAGAAACAACCTAGGGGCGAACTCGAGAAAAGTGAGGGTGAGTCGCTAGTGGAATTATAAATAGCTTCACTTATATTTAGTTTTTTGCTCAAAAGCTAGACTAAGCGTTATTTTTACTTAAGCACTCTGATATAGTACTCAAAGCAATAATATTTGTTATAGTTCAACTTATATTTTTGCTTAATTTTATAATTTTCAAAAATGTAATTGTAGGTAAATCAAAAAATGTAATTTCACATTTAAATCTTTTAATGCTATACCTACAAAAGTCTCACACATTTTACTTAAATAATTCCTAAATAACATCTTAAATTAGCTCAATATAACCTTCTTAGAATAATTTTTGAAATTTTTGAATTTTAATCATAAACTTTACTTTTCATCGGCTTTACTTCGTTACTAATTTTGGAAATGTAATTTTTTATAGTGCTCAGTGATAAAAGAGGACAGCCCACCTAATGGAAAGCGGTACCTATCGCTCATAACACCTATAGTTCATGCACATAGGTTTTATGTAACAAAAATGCAGAACCGCAGTTTCGTTGTCGCTGTAAGGACTAAGATGATATGCCTCTTGCCTGTAATTACACTGGCTACCTTATCCTTCAAAACTCAACACAACGGGAGAAATAGATATCGATGGTACCCATCCTCAGGCTTCACAGAGTCCTACCAGGTATGCAATTCACAGCTACTTGTTGTTACGATAAAATAAACGTAACCCTGTTACATAAGAACCACGTAGAAATACTAGTTCTCCCGTAGTTCGATCAAACATACCTATTAAACATCGGCTTTATATATTTTTTTTTGCCAAATCGTATTGTGAGTTATCTCATAAATATGTTTATGAGTCAAAAAACTACAAAGGTAAGGAAAACAATTAGAAAATTTGACATTGAGATCTGCTATTAAGTACTGCACAAACGTATCTAAGCCAGTAATGGTAGTACTTCAAACAGTGGGGGATTCAAAGAAATCATTATTCCGAGAACTTCCTCGCGCGACCACTTGGAAACTTAGGGATGCGACCGCTATCGATTGTAACGCGTTCGAGAATATATATTATATATGTAATATACTTGTTTTATTTTTATTATCATAATTTAAAAAAATGCATTTATATATATTTATAATTATTAGGCACTAAATATATTACATAAGTATTTCTATCTTACTTTTCTAAGTAAAGAAAAAATTGAAATTAGGACTGAATGTAATAATTACTAATTTTGACAATTATATCAGGATTTAAACTACTAATATAGTATTTAAAACATCCTTCTAGACTCTTTTAGGTAGATTCGGTCAAAAGTGTCATTAACATATAATATGTTGTACATGACTTTTTCTCATACAGTTTTGTATTAGTATAGTTAGGTAATTTGGTACCATTAATTTTAAAACTGTTATAGTAGAAGTCAAGATATTGGGGTTGCAAATTAAATTATGTATTTGATATTAATAAAATTATTCATAAATATTGTGATAGCAACTTGATAGAATCACGTCCATACAATAAACATTATTATTATATATCGATATTTCTTAACCTGTTTCACCCCTACGACAGGTACGCTCCGCCCCGGGGTAACGAAGCTAATCTGTGCTCGAGTGTCGACAATTTGAGGCATAACAACACTAACAACGGAAAATAAGCAAGACCGCCCCATTCTTAATCCACGATAAACGTCTGTGATCATCTCTCCTGTATTCCTGTTTTAAAGCGATGTCATTATTTTTCAGCTCTGTGTTAAGATGAAACGATTTAATAGAGAATTGAATTGAAATTCGATGGGAAGGAAATCTTTGATGTTAAACAAACGATCTTTATACTTGATACTTTGTGTATTTGCTTGCGTAAGTTAATTTGCCTTGCAAGATTTGTTGAAATAAATAAAAGTTTGACTTTAGCTTAGTAATAGTTGGTTCAATTCGCTTATAACATATATATTTTAAAAAATCTAGTGGTGGTGGTCATGTGTGGTTGTAAATCACGAGATTCTGGGTTCGAACCCCGGGTTGGGTTCTTTTTTATGAAATACTTCTTAGCTGTCGGAGTTGGGAAGTCGGCGGTGTAAGCATCCCTCTGCCTAAGAAAGCACGTTAACCAGTCTATCTTGCGAATTACTTCTCACCGGTCGTGTCGAGTTGTCGTCCCATCGAATATGAGTACACACACTGCATGTACTATACGAGTAATATGCCGCGTCTCAGTAATATAGGCTGCGTAAGCAAAATCGTTCGGGAGGACGTTATACACATATTTAAATCAATTTAGTAAATTTACATACTTATTTTATAATTCTCGCATTTATGTATACGTACATTGTACACTACTTAATAATAATAAAATAGTAATTATTTCAGTAAATAAACTACTTGATTATGTTAATTAAATAATTCATATTAATCTTTATCTTTACTAATATTATAAAGAGGTAAAGTGTCTGTTCGTACGGGCTAATCTCCGATACTATTGAACCTATTTAAATGAAATTTGATACTTTTCATTCTGGAAATTATAAAGCAATTATAAAGAAATTAGTTTTTGTTAGTATAATAGAATTTTTCATAATCCAAAAAAAAATTGGTGAACCTTTTATTCCTTGTGATACAAAAAGAGATATAAACTTAGAACTAACATGGCAATAAAATTAAACCTTTTTACTAAAATCTCAATATTAGAAACATCTATATTATGAAGAATTTCATTTTAAAATGACATTTGAGTTTGACAGTTATGCTTAAGTCTGTTTCACTGTTGAATTGTAATATATCTCGCTTTGCTCTCCCAAACGTTAATACCGCAGTAGGTGTATATTTTTGCTATAAATTAAGCCTCGGATACGATACGAGTTTTTCATACGACACTTGGTTAAACTCGCTACTTTATATTGCGAAATGAAACTCATAAATTACTCGCGAACCAGCCCGTAGAACTACGCTAGTATTTCATAACTGGCACCAAATTGTTTTTGGAATAGTAAACTTCAATATTTGCTTATTACGCTATCGCTTGTAAGTAAAATTTTGCTCTTTTTATTTCGAAATCTGAATTGAATAGTCCGTAAGCATCCAAACAATAATATAATTCTATACAAAACTTCTAAGAATTCAAAACAGCAAAACAACTGAAGCATTGTTTAGTCCTTTTGTGACATTGAAGTATGGAAATCACAAAAAATATTAATAGTAGCACCACAATGTATCATGTGAGAGAAATGATTTTTATTAGTACACGTAAAAAATATCTAGTTAAACTTTTTTCATATGCATCTGTTATTACGGTAGTCATCGTTACTGTGTCGATTATACAGTTTCTAAACGATCAAAATGGACGAGCATTTGAATCAGTAATTCGATATGATTTAAGAAGATATCCAACTGATTTGAAATATATTCTATTCTGGAAGCCGTCAAATGAAAAGCCTCATTCTCATTTCAAAGCCAGATCAAGATTACCAGATGGTCAGAGCTTATTTATAAAACAAAATTGCAAATATATTAATTGTTTCATAACTTATGATAAAAACTTGCTAAAAAACGATCATCGCAATATAGATGCAGTGGTTTTTAGTGTACGTGATATTCAAAATGTATCTCTAAAAGAAATAAATTTAACGCGATCATTGGACCAAATATTTATATTTCATTCATTGCGTTCTTCAGAGGAATATCCAGTGTGTAATAGATTTTTCGATAATTTCTTCAACTGGACATGGACATATAGGCTTGATTCTGACATACCAAAACCTTTTATAAACATTTTTAACTCTAAAAATAACTTAGTAGGACCAAGAAAAGGCATCAATTGGAATCCTTTGAGCTGGTCACATAATCACATAATGATAAGAAAATTCAGAAAAACCAAAGCTGTAGCGTGGATTGTAACAAAATGCCAAACGAGATTAAAATTTCAAGAATTTGTTAATGAAATGAAAAAGGAGTTGATGAGTTATAATTACTCGATTGACATATATGGACCATGTGGAGATAAACAATGTCCAAATGGTCATTTGATAAATTGCTTTAAACTGATAGAGAAGGAATATTATTTTCAAATGATTTTAGAAGACGCCTTTCTTGATGATTATATTTCAGAGTTGATTGCGTATGCAATGTCGCATGTGGCCGTTCCAATTGTTTTAGGATCCCCGTCCAATTACGAAAAGTGAGTACTGTAATGACTGTAATGTAGTATTTAAATTGTACTATTAAAGTTGGTCGTGGATTTGATTCCCGTATGCGTTGAATTACAATGAGAATAAAATTACTCGTTACAATCAATTTTGGGTGAGAAAGTTTTATTCAGCGCAATGGCTTCAAGAAGATGTTTTTTTAATCTTCAAAGTTTTTTTAATGTAGCATTATAAATTAATGAAAATTTCATAGGTTACTATGTATATCGGAAATAATCTATTGATTTATAATAGACTATTACAGATTATATATTATAATATATAGTTACCTTTGCAAAAGTAAAAAAAAATTTTTTTCAGGTTCCTAGCACCCGGCTCTTATATAAACGCTCAAATTTTTGATATGAAGAAACTTGGGGCCATTATTGATTTTCTGATTCAATATCCCGTAACTTACAAATATTTTTTTGACTGGAAGAATCATTACTACTATACTGTTAGACCTAGGAACTATGTATGTGATTTGTGCGCTAAATTAAACAAAATATCCCCTCCAAAAGTGTACAAAACTTTTCGAAAATGGTGGAACCCTCGATATAAAGAAGTTTGTCAACATAGAAGATTCCATAATATGTTTTTAAAAACCTATCGTAACGGTTAAACGGTACTGTAGCGTAATTAAATTAATCATAAAGGTACTTAGTCTCATATTATGATTACTATCATTTAATATCACAAATGCGTAAGTGAAATTTTAGCTTATTCCTTACTTTTAGTTATCGATCGCATTATCGATTTTTTAGTGATGCGATATGAATATTTGCATGTATAATGAATGATACTAACCAACTTATTATAAGCAACGGCGACTAATAAGCTCGGCTAAAGAACTTAATTTTATTATTGTAATAATAATAGTAATTATTTTCTTTTTCAACCGACTTCATCAAAAAGATGTGCTTTGCTTTGTATCGGCTGGCACCGGCTTCGAAAATATTTGATTAGGTAGGTATCTATAGTACATGAAAATACCAATCAGTTATTTTTTACTTTTTAGTGCTTTTTTTGAAGTCGGTTTTTATTTTTTTGTTAAAATTTTTTATGGTGCTTTTCTTTAATGTCATTTAATTTATACTTTAGAACATAAGAATAAACACTGATGCGTAGTTGTGAGTGTAGAATTTTGTTAAATAAAAATAACACGCTTGAACCATACTTTAGAATAATGGTCAAAATGACAATCTAATGGTGAAACCCAATAACCTAGCATATAAATCTCTAAAAGGAAGAATCACGGAACCCAAGAAATCCATGATTATCTGTACTAGAAATAGAAATTTGACGTAATTCGCTTGGAGCTTTTGTAAAATGTCTATCGCTAATAAGAAAAATTACAGATAGATAATTTATCGGGATCTATAGATCCAAGATAGGAACAGGTAATGGGAAATTGCCGTGGGTGGGAAAGAAAAACACTACTAGAATATTCTTTATTTTTCGTTTATATATAAAAACTTAAAAAAAACGATTTCCAGGCACTAAATATAAAATATAAAAAAATACTAAACGGAGGTTTTCATTTAAAATACCTAATCAGATATTTTCGAAGTCGGAGTCAGCCGATGCAAAAAAAAATATATTTCGATACGTAAAATACATATTTACGTATTAGATATTCATATCTTAAAATATTGTAGGTTAGCACCGACTTCGAAAATATCTGTTTATTTTTTAAGTTTTTATATTTCCATTTATAGTGTAGACGTATTATGCAGGTAATTTGTAAGAAGAAAGTTTTTCAATAACATATTAGATTAAACAATTTATTTAAGAAATGTCTTTATTGTTGATTTTTTTTTTGAAACGCTCGACCGATTTCGATAAAATTTAAAATTTATATGGGTCCACCTGGCAAGTATACCATTTAAAACAAAAAAAAATTCCGAATCGGTTCAGGCGTCTTCCAGTAATCGGTGAACATACATAAAAAAAAGATTCCGACGAACTGAGAGCCTCCCTTTTTTTTAAGTCGGTTAAAAAAGGTACAATCTCAAGGGATGAGTACAACCTCGGAGTTGAAAGTAAAACTAATGGTAGAAAACATTGCTCAATGTCAGAAATTACTGATATATATATGCCTGTATCGCAAGTCTGCTGTGTTGGACTGCTATAATGGAGAATGAAACCCTCCTGTAGTTCATATAAACTGCTTTAAGATCGTGGAACCTTACTCCTAATAATAGACAGATACATTAAATATGAAGCAAAGTTATGTGAAGCTAAAATTTCATCAAAATCGGTCAAGTATTTTATAAGATTTCTTATTATTGCCTTAGATTTAAGAATAAATTGTGCAAATATAAAAATTAAATATTCTGTACGTTTTAATTGAGTTATTTTATATTATTTTCTCTTTTTTGTCGTAATCTTAAGTACTTCTACTTCTCCTTCGTCAAACCTATCGAATCCTAAAATTACCAAGTTTTTTTCACGTTTGTATAAATATTCTTCAGTTTATATCCACGTTATCTTGTTATTAAAAGGCTTCAATATTATCTCGGGCACATCTGCGATCGACATCTCGAGTTAGATTTATTATTGAATACTTTTTTATCTGCCTGACAATGCAGTGATACGCTATCAATCTTCTTGGAGGCCATATTTATATCACTTATTTCCCTTTGACATTCTTACTAGAAATCGTTAGCATTTATTTGAATATCTTTATTTTTTACTAGCTTTTGCCCACGGTTACGTTCACGTGGTATCTCGTAAAAAAATAATAATATTATTTTGTATGGCATAGTCTAGCGCTATACGTATAATTAAAGGAATCATCTCTCAAAAGTTATCACTCACAATGCAATTACATGCAAGTAAACATTTTTTACCTATTCATTATCTATACTTATATTATAAAGAGGCAGAGTTTGTTTTTTTGAACGCGCCAAGCTCAGCTCAGAAATTACTAATCGATTTTAAAAAAAAAATCATTAGATAGAATAGAATAGAATAGAATAGAATAGAATCTTTATTGACACAATTGTTTGTTGTTACATAAGCCTGTTGAAGCCTCTGACTCCCAAACTAGAATAAACCTGTATGTCAGGAGTCAGCGCCCTCTTCCATCTTTTATGATAATTGGAGGTCAATAATATTACTGTGCATGTTTAACTTAATTTTAGAAATTCTTTGTGAAAGAAAGAGATAAAATAAAAGTAAAATAAAAATTAACTTTAACAAAAATGTACTAAGTGAAGTTACGTAAAAATACAGTATAAAACATGTGTGTGTGTGTGTGTGTTTGTGTGGGTGTATATGTGTGAGTAAGTGTATATTTGTGTGTATGTGTGTGTAAGTGCATGTGTGTGTGTGTGGGTATGTGCGTGTGCGTATGTATTCGTTCAGCATTTTATAAATTTCTTTCTAATATCTTTTCCGTTTCCTCATAGCTAAGTGTAAGCAGCCAATCTCTAACTTTTTTTTGACATTCACGTAATGTGAGTGGGTAAAAATTAAGAATTTTATTAATTTTATTAGATAGCCCGTTTATTGAGGATATAGGCATAATCAAATAATATAGTCTATCTATTCCATACTAACGTTACGTTGTTTCGAGAAGTAAAATTTGCTTTAAACTAAGAAAACACCATGCACTATACGACCACCATCATGACCATGGTCGCAGCTGATAACTATCGATATTTTTATTTTTGGATTGATAGTGTAGTGATTGAACCACGATTATGGTTTTAATGTTCTAATTAAGCTTTTTTTTAAATGAGTTGAATTTGAAAGAGTTTTAATACTCTTTGACAAACAAAATCGCGATATAAATATGATAGACGTCATTATTAATGCAAATCTTGTAATATGGTTACAGTAAAACTTGATATAACAACTACCCCATCATCCTAAATCAATCACTACATTCTTGTTCAATTCGCAAAGAATTTTAAAGTTTTATTATATTAAATTAAGCCCGAAACCTTATCCATTATACTAATGAATGGCCCCTTACAAACTTTCTGCGGAGCTACCTGGGGGATAATCAATTATTGTTTATTGTAATCAAATATGAAACTTTAGTTCAGAAAGTTTTTTTGCAGAACAAAAGTTAAATAAAATATATGTAGAGATTCAACTTAGAGTTTTATTATATGTATAGATGATGTCCTACTAACCTTCTATTAACCTAATTTTAAATTAAGCGATAGATTAAGCATCCTTAACACGTTCGCTGCATTACGAGATCTATCAGATCTCTTGCAGGACTTTTGTACTGTGCGTTGACTATAATCGTGTTGTTTCACTCCTTGCGGGAGGCTCTAACGTGTAAAGTTCTTTAAGTATGAGTAAGACAAATATACATATTTGCTTCCTACTTAAAGGTGAATTCGAGGACATAAAAAAAAAAATAGAGATGGATTAGGTCCCTAACGCACAGTAGTATAATTATTTTTATTCCTTGCGTTAGGAGACATGTCGATACTCGTGGAATCGTACGCCTCGTAGACGCAAGAAAGGGAGGTTGGGGGGCGCGGGCGCTGTGTGAATCGATTTAGTGTTGTCCTAGTGTCGACGTGGGAGGTTGCGCGCACGTTTCGAAAAAGTGTAAAAAAATTTTTATTTAATATATTTTATTTAATTATTTAATAAAATTGTTTTATTTTGGTGAGATTTCTAAGAATGAAAAATCAACGCTGGATTATAGTGCTGCATCGTCCAGTATAATTACAATTTTGGAAAATATAATGCTTTTTATTACAGAATTCCCCGAAGGAAGATGTACAGATCATGTTTTCCAACGTGGCGACAAAAAAAGACGTTGTGTGGGTTGTTATGAAAAATTACGACGCACATTAAACAGCACTGACGCTTCTAAAAAAAGCTGAAAAAATACCATTTGCGCGCAATGCAAATAATCAATGTGCTTACTATGTTTTAATGAAAAACACTTTGCATAGTTTATAAATAAACTTCTTTAATAAAACTTTTTCAATCGACAACTGAGATATTATTTTATTCCCATC